ATGGTGAGTGGTTACCGTCGCCCATGGACTTCAGCAATGCCAAAGGCAGAGCCAAGCCGCTGCCTACCGCTTAATATAAATTTGGATATAAATTTCATTTATATCCAAGTATTTTATGCGACATTGGGTTATTCAAGAAAAGAGCATATCGACACCTCCATGCAATAAAATTGTAACTAATTTTTTGAGATTTTTGGTGAGAGCAAAATGAAAATTCCAAATATCATAGCTATTCAAGGTTTCACTCTACAAACTTCGAAAGTGTTGTTATCCTTTGTTTTTAATGCGCACTATTGTCATGTACTTTAAGATTATAAGAAAAAAGTTGTTTTCATGGCTTTTCATGACTTACGTGAAAAACAATGCCTAGTCAAGTCCCTTGAACTACAGTGACAAACATTGTATGTCTGAGTTACGTCCTTTATTTTTTTACTTATTATGTTTTTTATCTTTTCAGACAATTGTAACTCTGAGTTACAATTATATTGCATGAAAATTATATGTAAACGTTCAATTGTTTTTCATACAAATAATTGCAAATTTCTTAAAAATCCTATCATAATGGACATAAGTCACTATAACAGGATTAGTATTAATTAAAATATTTGATTGTAAGAATAAAACTGCAGCTTAGTGACAAAATTTATTAAAAGTTAATTAGAACAAACACTTATTAAAGTATCGCACGCAGTACCTACCTACCATTTAAAATCAGCCGCTAATGACAGGAATAACAAAAGAAATCAACTCCATTTTCTTGTTTGGTAACGTTAATAAAATAGAACTCAATAACAATTAATTTTCATCATCACTTTTGTTATCTTCAGCTAAGTGAGTTGAATGTGGAAGATTCAAGTAAAATTTGTGATACATTTCTGGAGCCGTGTTGCACTTGCATAAACTTACGAGATCTTTAAATTTTCCTGTGGAAATTGGGAGTATTTTATCGTAGAGTAACGAAATACTTTCTTCCTCTGGCTGTTCACATTGAGTTGTTTCTTTAATTCTTGTCGATTTTTAATGCGTTTCCAAGCAAGGTTAATAGTTAGATATTAGCCGCTCAAATAATCATATTGGAAATATATTTAATCTTGGTTTTCTTTTTCTATTTTCTTCTGAGTCAGTCTCTTCATTACTGAAGGTCGTGTCTAATCTAAAATGTGGACCAGTCGATGCTCAATGCTTCCCCACGTCTTCCTGTCTTCGGCGGTGTTTATAGCCTCGGTTATTGGCAGGCCGGTGAGCGTCTTAACCAGATCAGACCAGCGGATAGGTGAGCGTCCGCGTGATCTTCTCCCGTCAACTTGACCAACTACCATCAGCTTCTCCAAGTTATCGGGGACTCTACGAGCGATGTGGCCGAAGTACGCGAGAATACATTGGAAGCAGATAGCGGACAGCCTTGTGGCAATACCGAGCTCCTTCAGAATGGACAGGTTGGTCCGGCGTGCTGTCCATGGAATTCGCAACATCCGTTTCCAACACCACATTTCAAAAGCGTCGATCTTTGCTCTCTCACTTCGTCTTATCGTCCAGATTCGGCGCCATAAAGAAAAATTGAGAAGACCAATGTACGTACCAGCCAAACTTTTCGATTTTAATGTGTTTTAATTTAGACCACATTACTTTTTTCTCATAACTATCCAAGTGGTTTTTATCCGTCAGAAGACCTTTAAAATCTAGAATTACATTATTCAGTTACGACATAAGGCTCGCCTGTTGTTTTAGCACATCTAATTCTTCATATTTCTGTTTAATAAAAAGAAACACAGCCTGTTGTCTAGTTCTATACGTACCAATATCCTTTGGAATTTCCTAAATCAAAGATGGTAAAATTATATACAGCAAATTTCCTTCTATAGTAGAATAATGAAACTTCAGACCGGGGTGTTGTCAAAACATTCTATAAGTCATAAGCGGCTGTGACTATGATTGGATATCTTTTGGATTGAAACTTACAAGTCAGATACAGAGGTCTTTTTTTGGCTTATGAAATTCTATGTTGTATTCTTTATAAAATATATCTTTATACTGTCTAGAATTTGCCACTTGTTCTATTGGACAATTAACTTTCATTCAATCAACGTAAAGCCCATATAATTTAGGGTATGTTGAAAAGTATAATTTGAAAGTTATTTTTCTTACGTTATGTGAATCAATTCGAGGGGTTAATGATATGTGATTTTTGACAGAATCTTTCACTGTATCTGGGATCAGATTTGTTCGATTATTATGACTTCCTCTCAAATCCCTTGTTATAATTTCTGTACCTCCTGCATTTATCTTCTTGTAAATAGTTTACAAACACATGTCGGTAATACAGAGAGTGTCGAAAATATTTTTTTACAAAACCTTTCCTTGTCGCCATCAGCATATAGATAGTAATTAAAGGACCGTCGTGAGTGACCAACAGCTGATGTACACATCTACATACAAAGTCTACTTGTCTTGAATAGTCACTCAGACACCAAAAATCTTTAAAAATCGCATATCTCGCCGTTTCCGATATCCTTTACAGTTTTTAATCACGTAAACCGCACACACAATGCAAGTAAACTATCGACCAACAAGATCGTAATTCATCTTAGGGGTCAGGCCCACACAAAAACTAATATCAAAATCCGTGCAAAAACATTGTAACTCAGGTTACAATGCAGTAGCATGGTATTTTGTGTTCATAAACTCCAGAGTCATGCTGTACAAAGATTGTGAATAAAGTTACAATTTTGTTGTATTTCATTGATTAGATATTCGTAATATTTTGTATATTGTAAATAAAGTTACAATAACCTTGCAGGTTAATCTGTTTTTTTTGGGGATTTACAATGCTTTTACCTCTTTCATAAACTCAAATTGAATAGGCGTAGAGTTACAATTATTACACAGAAAAAATCCTTTTTCTTTTTGTATCAGAATAGCATTGTAACTCAAAATTTGTAAAAAAATGAGTTACGATGTTGTTGCATGGAGATGTCGATATTCTTATCTGAAGGGTAGGCAACGCACTGGCGTAAACGCTGGTGACCGTGGGCGGCGGTGAATCACTTACCATCAGGTGACCCGTCTTGCTCGTTTGCCTATTAGTTGTTATAAAATAAAAAATATATATATAAAAAAAAAACTTCTTCAGCTATTTGAATGTAGTAAACTTAACTGAAGTTCAATTATGTATAAACGCCGAGCTGTTGATGCTAATACCAAATAAAACTGACCTTTAATTACAAAGATAAATGCCGCGTGTTAAGCGAAATGCTTTTACCCCTCGATATGTTTTTCGGTTCACGCTAATTACGGAGATACAATTGAACCCACTTTCATGGCAACATCGCGCATTTTTTTCATTCATTCTCCAGCCCTTCTCCCAGTCACCTGGGTTCAGCGCAACATGTTTTCTCCTTCGATACTCCTCTATCATATACCGTTTCTTCACTCACTCCCCTCTTACACATATCGTCTTTCACGCAATCCATCCATATCTTCTTAGGTCTACCTCTTCCTCTATATCCTTCCACATTCATAGTTAGCACTCTCTTACCAATCTCAATTTCATTTCGTCTCATGACGACATGACATGCTATCTTGCATTATTCTCAATACACTAGTACCTATATGTGTAAAGAAAAACCTTTTTTATGTAATTTTTATATAAAAAGTTTGAAACTTTCTAAGCTATTGCATAGTTTTTATCGCGGGCCTTGAGTGCGGCGACCGAATCATGAAATTCCGTAACGAAAAAAACTTAACACACCTCACTCCGCCTACCATGTAGCTCGCGTTCAACACATTCACACGTTGCGCTTGTGTAGTGTTTGTGAATAAGCGCGTGGCGTTACTTCACACTGCATGCGCATCATGAAAAGTCTGCCCATCTCTCTCTCGCGCAGTCTAGCTTATGAGTGTGAAGAGGACAGTTAAGGTTTTGCTTTTATTAATGTTTAATATAGCGTGGTCTTGTTTTATTATTGTTTTAATATTAAATTATCATTGTCTAATTATAATTGCATAAGTTGATAAAAAATGCTACGCAATAGCTTTACCGCGGCAGTTCCCGAGTACAACACGTTTGTTTTTAGTTTAAAAAAATATATTGTTACGCGCTGGGGTTCGGGATAAATAAAATTCTACAATTCTACAAATTCTACAAGTTAACACTGTATTAGCACTTAGAGCACTTAAAACACTTTAAAATTCTCAATTAGTTTCTTCCGCTTCGCTTCAGGTGATCCGTTCGTTGTTTCGCTTCGAGTAGTTCCGATTACTAGAGCATTCTTCACAAGTCGAGTATTTTCGATGTGTGTTTCCGCTATCTGACAATAGATGGCGTTGTGTTTCTTAAGCGTTCTAGATGCTACTAGGTCCTTCGATATTCTTTAGATTATTCGGCGATAGATGGCGTTACTCTTACCGGCGTAACAATATTATTTTCCTTAAATATGTTGACTGAACTCTCTGTCATTGAGAAAAAAGAGGAGGTCAGTTTTACTTAATTCAATAATACTGTGTAAAATAATAATTTGTGGAAAATAAAGGCTTTAAATGTTGTTTCCTTAATACTGTACAGAAAACGAAATGAAGTATTTTATTAACGTTCAAACATTTTTATTAGAATATTCCATATCCTTATATATGTATTTCTAATGTTTCGTTTTCTTCACCTACTGGTGGTAGGACGTTTTGTGAGTCCGCACGGGTAAGTACCACCAATTCGCCTATTTATGCCGTGAAGCAGCAATGCGTTTCGGTTTGAAGGGTGAGGCAGCCGTTGTAACTATACTGATTGATACCTTAGAACGTATATCTCAAGGTGGGTGACGCATTTACGTTGTAGATGTCTATGGGCTCCACTAACCACTTAACATCAGGTGGGCTGTGAGCTCCTCCACCCATATAAGCATTAAAAAAACATGGTAGAGCGTTAAATATTTTCTGACGTTATAATGTGACGACATGTTCACGATGTGTGGTGATCACTAACCAGTAACCACTGTTGATCCAGTTGACCGTCGCCGTCTCAACCGTGAAGACGTGTATACGCGTCGAGCCAAACCCGAAAAAAAAACGTTGCGTGAAATTTAAATAAAAAAAATTAAACAATAAATAAATAAAACAAAACTGTTTATATTTGACTGCGGTGAGTTTTTTTTTTTGTAATTCTGTAAATAACAATAGCGCTTAAACATTGTTTTTTCTTTTTTTTTTTACATAAAAAAAAAAAAATGTTCGATTGCTTTTATATGCGTTTTAAATTTATTTTACAATTTTGATCGACGCTATTTAATTATTATTTACAAATCGAGTGAAGAGTTTAGTTATAATTGAACATTAAATAGAAATAGAAATAAAAAAAGCCTTTTATATTCTACTAAATATTTTAACAGTTATAAACAAGTATGATCAATTCAAACTAATTTAATACAATTTGCTAGTTACACTCTTAATTGATTTATAAACAAACCATTTTGCATTTTGCAATTCTCTTGTTAATTTAAGACAATGCGTCATATCAAAACTTGTTTATTTGTTATATAATATCTGTAGAGACCTCATATTGGGTAAAGGCTTTCTCCAAAGATGCCCAATTATCTCGGTTCTGTGCAATCTCTTTCCAATTTAGACCGGCTGTCCTTGCTATCTCATCTTCCCAACGAGGCAATGGTCGACTTGCCCCTTAAACATAACGGGCCTTTCCAAAATGTTATTACACTTTTATGGTCCATCTCTTAACCTTAAGCTTCGAGACGTGATTAGCCAATTTCCAATTGTGTGATAGCGTAAAAGTTAACTCATATTTGTATGGAATGGGATCGTTTGCCTACGTTAGCCGCTAGGGGCGCTGTTCCAACTGCATATAAAATTGAGTTAACTTTTACGCTATCGAGAACGTTAAAAAACTCGCACTAAGCACATTGAGCTTTTGTGCATAATTCAATGATTCTTCTGAGTCGGTCTTTTTGTTGCTGAAAGTCGTGTCTAGCTTGAAGAGTTGATCACTCGCAATCCAATGCTAATTGAATGCTACTGGTGGTAGGACCTCTTGTGAGTCCGCACGGGTAGGTATCACCACCCTATTTTTGCCGTGAAGCAGTAACGCGTTTCGTTTTCTTCATCTTCATCTCCCGAGATAAAATCTTTTGCTTTCGGACAGGATTTCTTCGAATTCTTTCCCTTACTGCTTTGACCACCTTTTTCGTACGAACACTACGTGGACGGCCAGATCTTTTTCTGTCACAAACAGAGGAGGTCTCATTGCACCTATTAATAGCCCGGTACACAAACATTTTACTAATACCAAGCGTATGGAGAGTTTTAAAAATTGCATTTGGCTCCATACCTTCTTTGTGTAATGCAATCACAGCGATTCGGTTCTCTTTATCATCCCACTCCATTTTAAAAACGTCAAATATTGTACAATGTATTGGCGCCAAAATGAGAAAACTCAATGAGCAATTATATAAATATGACAGATTCCAAATTTTATTTAAAAAAAAAATTATTTTTAATTGTAACAGTATTTATGGCCAGACTAGGTATAGTAAGCCTGTACTATAATCTTTATATATATATATATATATATATATATATATATATACACCTATATTTCTTTTGTACGTGTGTTTGTCACTGAACTCCTCCTAAACCGCTGGACCGATTTGAATGATTTTTTTGTATGCGTTTGGGTGGCTCCCTGGATGGCTTAGATTCACAAATCAGCCCGACAGATGGCGCTGCAGCCGGTGTCTAGGTTATTTATCTACTGAATGAATTTTTGCAGGACAACGTCAGCTGGGTCCGCTAGTATTATAATAACAATATCATTATTATATATGTAGGAACGGAACGGAGTGATATGGAGGAATGGCAGATATGGAGCATGACTGAGTGAGAGAGATAGGAGATGTCGTGTTAGGAAGTAAGAAAGGAGGCGAATGAATGCGGAACATCTAGATTATTGCATAAGCAGCACGGGAGTTAGTTTCCGGACGCGACGACGCTCAGACGCCGTCGTCTGAGCGTCCTCGTCGTTTAGGTCGTCGTGGCCTAAAGGATAAGACGTCCGGTGCATTTGTATGAAGCGATGCACCGGTGTTCGAATCCCGCAGGCGGGTACCAATTTTTCTAATGAAATACGTACTCAACAAATGTTCACGATTGACTTCCACGGTGAAGGAATAACATAGTGTAATAAAAATCAAACCCGCAAAATTATAATTTGCGTAATCACTGGTGGTAGGACCTCTTGGGAGTCCGCACGGGTAGGTACCACCACCCCGCCTATTTCCGCCGGTAAGCAGTAATGCGTTTCGGTTCGAAGGGTGGGGTAGCCGTTGTAACTATACTGAGACCTTAGAACTTATATCTCGAGGTGGGTGGCGCATTTACGTTGTAGATGTCTATGGGCTCCAGTAACCACTTAACATCAGGTGGGCTGTGAGCTCGTCCACACATCTAAGCAATAAAAAAAAAAAGACGCATTGTAACCCGGAAGACGAAAGACGTATGTAACTTAAGACGATATAATAAGACGAAATAAAGAATCGTGATTTTGTGTAGTGATCGAGTGTTTCTCTAGCCCACCCCGAATATAAAATCCCACATATATAATATTATTATTAATATATTATAATCAATACTAATATATAAATCTACAGTAGTTTTTACGGATGTTCCTTTAGAACTACTGAACCATGCATTCGATTGACTTGAAACTTGGTATCCATGTAGAAAATGCATGTACTTAATGGATAGGCTAATATTTATATGAGTGTTGGACACCCTAACAATAATGACAATAAATAATAATGTTAATTTTAAATGTCCAGCGAAGCGAGCGAGTACCGCTAGTTTTCTATAAAATTGTTCACGTATTGAATTAGCTTTAGTCATTATTTGTCGTTTCTTGTTCGTTTTCGACGGTCATTTTGTTTCGTCAGGACTGAAATTTCGCAGATCAGTTCCTAGAGCAAGCATCTGCCTCTCAGTCTTCGAGATGGACAGGTCAACGACCTTACAAGCTAAAAAAAATCACGAGAAACGAATGTTATAAAAGCGAAACCTGCTTTTTTTAGTTCTTATTTCATGCGTCATTATCTTTGCCAGTCACGCTCTGCAAAATATACCTACACTTCTAGACAGCACGTTTGACGTAATAACGTAACTGGATACAAAAAAATGCCCAGAAGACAATTAGTAATAAAGTTAATGGAAATTTTAATGTAATTTCAGCTGTTTTTGTGGTGTGTCTAGTTAAGTCAATGTTCATGGAAGCGAGCGCTTGCATGGCTGTCCTGTGTGCTTAGTGCGTATTTTTTAACGTTTTCGATACCGTAAAAGTAAACTAAAATACGTATGTTGGAATATCCGGTAGTAGATTCGTTCGCGAAGCAGCTGCTCTTGAGTTGTTAGGTCTCCTTCGGAGGCGCTCGGGCAGTTGTTAGCTAATCCCACCCCTCCTGGCTGAGCCATTGTTCGCCCACCTATCCTGGTGAAACTGGAGAGGCCTCTAGTCCAGCAGTAATCCATCATTCAAAAAAATAAAAAAATAAATCGAAAGTGAACGGCTAAGAAAATGTCGACATTAATGAATAATTAAATATACCAATATCCAGTTCATTAAGCTCATTAAGTATGCTAATGTTTAAAGAAAATCACATTGAATCACTAAATTGGAGTTCGTAAAAAAAACACCGCGTCATTAGGCTGCATATTCCCGGTGTATCGCGTTCCGACCCGGTAGGCTGGTTCTGGTTCAGCTGGGAATTCCGGGACACCAGCGGCTCCGTCTGGGCAGCCTGACGGGCTGCCGTACCGAGACGGCCGACATTTCAGAGCCTTCGATTCGCCTCGAAGACTCCGCCGGCTGGGCGTCCTTGGGGTGAGCTGCGCTATCTGATTGCAGTGTTGACCGCGGTAACCCCCTTACTTCATTCGGGTTCTGACCTCGGAGGGGATCGGACGCTTGGGCGAAGAATGCAGGGGAGTCGTTTAGTGGGTAGGGCCCTGAAAACAACAGAAAGAAAAATCAAATTGTGGTCATAGTTGCATCTGTAACAAAAAACCAGCAGTGCGCACGCATCGGCTAAAAAAACTTCAAAAACAGTTTTTAAATGAAACTAGCTTATTCTAAAACCCAAAAATAAAAGTCCTTAGTTTTAGTTAAAGTTTAACAAAAAAAAAAAAAAAAAAATGAAACATTATTTTTGACGATCGCAACATGAAAAACAAACATTACTCACTCACATGACAATTCCAGCAGATTCTTGAAAGATCGGTCTAATTTATTGATGGGTGTTAAATTTATGTTTCTTTTGTTTTTTTTTTTCTTTCGCACACATCAGTTGCTATGCTCGGAATTTCGTGTTTTGTGAAGAGAAATATCGAAATAACCCAAAATTTATTTAATTAACTAGCTTTTGCCCGCGACTTCGTCCGCGTAGTATAGTTACTTTGGTATAACGCTAAATTTTATCCGCATCTCCATTTCTGTAGAAAGTGAAAATATTTTTGAATAATAGAATGTTCAGGAGCTATTTAAGGTACAATATAATCAAGCTTTTTAACCGACTTCAAAATCAATCAATTCGGTTATCAATTCGACCATAATTTTTTATCTATGTAAGTTCACCGATTTCTCGAGAATGCTTGCGATTCTGATAATTCATTTTTTCTTTTTAATGGGCTATCTCACACTGAAAGAATTTTTCAAATCGGACCAGTAATTAGTTCCTGAGATTAGCGCGTTCAAACAAACAAACAAACTCTTCAGCTTTATAATATTAGTATAGATTTTAGTTAAGGTAAAATATATTATTATTTAAACTATATTAATCTATCTATGTTGGCTCAAATAACCCCTTAGGCTGCCAACGAAAAGGCAGGGAATAATATATGCAAAGTTGTAATTCGTTTAAATATAGATTGACGACAAAACAAACAGAAAGACAAGGACATTTAGCTGGTTTAATTATTTTTGCGCAGGACTCGGGACTTTAATAAAAAAGTCACATTTATTTATCCGTGAGTTTATTTAATGTGAGTAAATATCATTTGACGTTCACGTGCTTCGAGCGTTTGGGTTCAAAGTGTATCCGTTCAATTATTATACGCTCGCAATATTTCCTTGCGAGCGTATTT